GACACGGGTTCGTGCACCGGTCCGGGAAGATCCCACATGCCGCAGAGCGGCTAGGCCCGTGAGCCATGGCCGCTGAGCCTGCGGGTCCGGAGCCTGTGCTCCGCAACGGGAGCGGCCACAGCAGTGAGAGGCCCGCGTACCCCTTAAAAAAAAAAAAAAAAAAAAAAAAAAAAAGAATAAAAATGTGATCAGTAGAAGAAAAAATATTGGCCGTTGATAATCAAGATTTTGTATCAACAGTTGTAGTGTACTTGGGAGAAAATTGCATTTTACAACTGCTTGTCAGTATAGCTTTTAGTTCTGTTACTCCTGTATTAAAGACTTGACCTGTTTATTATTATTTTTTTATTAGAAAGTTAACCTATGCTCATTATTCCATTTTCCAGAGATAATTTGCTGTTAATAGTTTGCTGTATATGCCTTCAGATTCTGTTTGTATGCATATATGCAACCTGTTATTTTTTCAATGGAAATGAAATTTTATGTATACTGTTTCATACCATGCTTTAAAACAAAATTTATTGAAGCACATTTTACATATCATAAAATCTACCCAATTTAAGTGTACAATTCGTTGATTTTTAGTAACTTTACTGAGTGGTGCAGCAATCATTAATTTTAGAACATGATCATCCTCCCGATAATTAGATCTCTCATGCCCATTGACAGTTAATGCTCTTTTCTACCCTCAGCTCTAGGTGGCCACTAATCCACTTTCTTTCTCTATAGATTTGCCTGTTCTGAACATTTCGTATAAATGGAATCATACAATATACGGTCTCTTGTGTCTGGCTTCTTTCAGTTAGTAAAGTTTTTATGAGGTTAATCCATAAAGTCATATGTGTCAGTGTTTTTTCCTGTTGATTGCTGATTTTTATTCCATTGTGTGGATCTACCTCATTTTGTTTCTCCATTTATCAGTTTGGGACATTTAGGTTGCTCCCAACATTAGATTATTTTTGGCTTTTATGAATAATTACAACTTGCTTTTTTTTCTCACTGACATTATGTATATCTGGGCAGATTTAAGAAATTAATACTTAAAAATGTACTGCAATTTTTTTTACTGCAGTTAAAAAACACTATATGTATTTCATTGTAGGATATACTATCATTTGTTTAACCAGTAATGTTAATGGATGTTTCTGAGTTCTGTTTTTTCACAATTATAAACAGTGCTGCAGTGCATATTTTTCCACATTTATCTTTGTATGTGTGTTTTTGTGGTATAGATTTCTAAAAGTGGAATTGCTGGATTAAAGGGCGTGCACATTTACAGTTTTAGTAAAATATTGAAGACCAGAAAACATCTTTAGCTGTAATTCTTTTTGATAATAAAACTCTGTCATCAACTTACTTGTACATTTGTGTATTTTAGTTAGCCAAGAAAAAGCAAGTTCTGCTTGCTTGAGTTAACAGAATATGTTAAGAAAAAAATTTTTTTGTATCGAAAATGATAAACTTGTGGTTACCAAAAGGGAAAGGTGTGTGTGTGGGGATAAATTATGAGTTTGGGATTAACATACACACACTACTATATATAAAATAGATAATCATCAGGGACCTACCATATAGCCCAGAGAACTCTACTCAATATTCTGTAATAATCTATATGGGAAAAGAATCTGAAAAAGAATGGGTATAGTTATATGTATAACTGAGCCACTTTTCTGTACACCTGAAACTAACACAACATTGTAAATCAACTATACCCCAATATAAAATAAAAATTAAATTAAAAAAAGAGAAAATGATAGGAACATATCCACTTCAAGGTCAAGGGTGATAAAATGGATATGTAATTCAGAAATATTTACTGTTACTTTACTTGTCTTTGAATTAGACCAAAAACATTGATGGCTATTAATTAATATAACCTACATGGGGGTACTTTTAGTTAAAAAAACCTGGGTAATCTCAAATGGTGACAGAAATATGAGTTACGATTGCCAGTTTCAAGAGTGGTCTTCCCCATTTCCCCAGAATTTCCATTTTTTTTTCAGGTGAAGACACTGAAGCCACTTGTCTCCTACTGTATTTTTTGACATATGTATAGATATGTGTGTATTTCATACACTGTCATCTCTTATCAAAAGCTGTAAAGTAAGTTTTTGACAAGGTGAAAATAGGCCTGGGTTCTTGGTATTTGACTTTGAAGTTTTTTCTTTTTAAAGATACATGTATATTTGTGTGTGTGTGTGTGTGTATGTGTGTGTGTGTATGTGGAGAGAGAGAGAGCTATTTGAAGTATTACAATTTTTGTTTAGTTTGTGCCAGAGAAAAAGTTAATGATCAATAAATGTTTGTGTTAATAGGTTTATGAAATTAAGAAAACAGTGCCTAGAATCAGGCTTATTACATTTTTTAGAACTCAGTAAATGAATGAATACCCAAATAGGAAGAAATGACACATGGATTTGTAATCATGCAGCTTGTTTATGTGTAGTCGTTAGTGCCTCTTGAAGCAGACCTTTTCAGCTTCACATCCTCATTGGTATTTTTCTTTCTCTTTCCAAGTGAAGACCTGAGGGATGGAATAGCTAGTACTGTTTCCTAAGGTATATTATACTACAGTTAACTGTAATAATATTGTTATATTGAATGGTAAAGAAATTAATAAATCTCATTTCCTCTATTGGTAATTTCAAGTAATATGTTATTTGCATATCTGAACTTCCCAAATAAAGAGCTTACTTTTTGAGAACTTCTTAATAAGAACCTAGATTTCTGAATGTAATTTAACCTTTGTTTTTTGGCTGTGGTTGCGCGGCTTGCGGGATCTTAGTTCCCCAATCAGGGATCCAGCCTGGGCCCCTTGCAGTGGAAACGTGGAGTCCTAACCACTGGACCGCCAGGGAATTTCCCCCCCACCCCCTTTTTTTTAACCTTTCCTTGATTGATTAATGTTTACAGTACTGTAACAGTGAAACAAAATGCTCAGGACCTTATTGCCCCAGTTACTAGATGATCTCCAAGTTTTCTTGTTTTCTTTAAAAAAGAGAGATGGTAAATATTATTTCTTCTAATAGTCTGTGTGCTTGTGTGAATAGCCCTTCAGTTCCAGCTCATTTCTAATTTGAATATGCATGATGAATATGCATAATACACATTGGGAACCCAGGTAACCTGACTTGTTAGAATTATGTGCAAATGAAAACTGGTAGTTGTCAGGGGAGAACTTTGGGGACTGAGAGCTCCAGACTTTGGATTTTATAGTTTTAGATTTCAGATTTGTTTTTTTTCAGGGTTCATGACTATGTTATGGGAGTTGGTAGATAGTTTAATTATTTGTAGTTTCTTTATTATATTCAAGTAATGGAATGGATCCCTTGGAGGATTCAGGCCCTTGATTATTTTGTCTATAAATTTACTAATCTGCATGATGATATTATTTTTGCTTGCTGTAGGCTAGTGTTAATGGTTATTTCAGAGAATATTATTTTGACTGGAATAAATTTGCATGAAAAACCCAGAGAAAGTAAAGAACTAAAGTTAGATCACAGATTTTTTCTTTATTTTAAACATGAAAAATTGTAGAAGCCAAATGGATGTGTTTAGATTTATAGGAGACTGTAGTTTTATTTTATATTCTTTTTTTTTTAAATTTATTTATTTTTGGCTGTGTTGGGTCTTCGTTGCTGCGCGCGGGCTTTCTCTAGTTGCGGCGAGCGGGGTCTACTCTTCGTTGCGGTGTGCGGGCTTCTCATTGCAGTGGCTTCTCTCATTGTGGAGCACGGGCTCTAGGCGCGCGGGCTTCAGGAGTTGTGGCATGTGGGCTCAGTAGTTGTGGCTCACGGGCTCTAGAGCACAGGCTCAGTAGTTGTGGCACACGAGCTTAGTTGCTCTGCGGCATGTGGGATCTTCCCGGACCAGGGCTTGAACCCATGTCCCCTGCATTGGCAGGCGGATTCTCAACCACTGCGCCACCGGGGAAGCCCTATTTTATATTCTTGATAAATGGAAATGGATGTTCAAATGCTAGGGGTATTATTTGTATTATCTTATTACAAATATGATGTTTTAATTCATTGCATGTATAACAGTCTAATTACTTGCTATATTAGCTGACAGGTTTATTAGGGATCACTTCAGCTTAGCGGGAAGTTCCTATAATATGTTTCCTGTTTTTGGTGGACTGTGGAAAATTAAGTTTCAGTTTGCATAACACTTGCTTACGGCATTGCTTTCTATTTCCAACAAATATATTCAATTCTTCATTATTGTCACTGAAGAAAAATAAAAACTGCTAACTGCAAAAAGAGTTGTTGGGCTTAGTTTATAATTAGTCTTTGATTTCACGTATAAAATTGATATTTCTGATGTTTTCTGTGTTATGACTTGCTAATTTAGCTTTATATTGGATTAAATGGCATTAGGATTTTCTAGGGTTGTGTAGTAGTCCAGTTGTGTTAATTTCCCATTAGTTGAGGACTAGCCAATAGACTGTTACTGCTCTTTTATTAAAATTTTATCTCCTTTCTCACATCTCAAGTTGTTTAAGTTTATTGAAAGACTTAGATTGGTGATTATAAAGTGTTTCGTGGTATTTAGTGCTTATGTGATTAGTAAATTCTGTCTTGACTCAGAATTCAAGATTCAGTTATTTTAAAGTACAGACTCTGAGTTAAATAATCAGGAATCTCTCAATGCAGGTTAAAGGAATTGACATGGGATTTGGTAATGTATTTTAAAAGGTCCATGTTTATCTTTTCTAAATTATGCTGCATTTATTTATTAAAATTTCAGATGAATTTCATTAATATATCTTTATGAGTGATTATAGAATGTATATGTGTGTATTTTGTGTATATGTGTATATAATATGTTGTAAACTGTATCAAAGCATATAGTATTCCTTTGATACAGTTTAAAGTTATACAGTTAGAGCAATAATGGTTAAATTAAGGAAAAACAGCTCATTTGAGCATTAGAATTGCATGTTAGTTATCCTTAAGTTATTTTGATCTCTTTGTTAAACTAAAAATCTTTTTAAATTTTAGGGGGAAAAAAATAGTGGCTTTGATGTCCTTTACCATAATATGAAATATGGACAGATATCGACAAAAGAACTAGCAGATTTTGTAAGAGAAAGGTATGTATTTTTTAATAAGTCATTTAACAATTCATTATCAAGATAAATTTCAGAATATAAATAATTGAGAAAATTTTAGTTGGATTTAGATAAAAGTAATCAGTTACACTTTTAAAAAGTATACTATAGTTATACTTTAAAGTAGTGGTTCTCTGTCATCTACACACTGAGGACTAAATAGTGGCTGTCAGTGGCATTGATAAAATCCTGATTTGCAAATCACTGCTTGAAAATATTATCTATATATTTTTCATTGAATATGCTAGCAAGGTGATACAGTAGAAAAACTGAGGAATTTTGTAGGATAAGATATTACCATTTCTCTAAACAAATATGTCACTAAACAAACTTCTCAAATAATTTGAAAAGACTGTTTTCTGAACTTGTAGTTTAATTATGTATTATTATAACTTTTATATTTAAAAAGTCCTAAGTACATGTTTTTAAATTGTGCAAATTTAGAAACATAATTTTTTTATTACTCTTAGAATATAATAGTCAGTTAACAACTATTAAAATCAGTATAATTTTTTTGAATTTTATTTTTTTTATACAGCAGGTTCTTATTAGTTATTATTTTATATATGTTAGTGTATATATGTCAGTCCTAATCTCCCAATTCATTGTACCACCACCACCCCGCTTCCCCTCTTGGTGTCCATACGTTTGTTCTCTATATCTGTGTCTCTGTTTCTGCCTTGCAAAGCAGTTCATCTGTACAGTTTTTTCTAGATTCCACATATATGCATTAATATATGATAAAATCAGTATAATTTGATTTGATTAAGGCTATTTTGTGGCTGGGCCCACTTGGTAATTTTTACGTGAACACATTTAAAATCTTTACCTTTGCTAATATAGGGATACTTTGCCTTTAGATACAGTACTTCATTCATTTATTTTTTCAATATATATCCCATGTCTGGATTTTGGGGATCAAGAGGCAGCTTCTGCTTCATGGAGTTTGTCAACTGGTAGGAATTGGGGAACAAACGATTCCACGTTAGACAAATCCTCTTTGACTTCCATCTTTCTACTGGAGTTAAAAGGGGGACCATAAAGCCCTAAGTGCTGTGGATAAAGTTGTCCCTCACTGGCTCACTTTTCATCCCTGGTAAAAATAAAAGGAGAGACTCTAGTACTCTGCATCTCCCGGCACATCCCCTAGCCTCCTTCTCCCCCAATACTTACATCACTACTATAATTATCTACCTTGAGACCAACAGAGCAGTGGTAATTATGCTTTTTGGCCCTATTTATGTCAGTTAAGAAGTCCAGGACTCCTGGGGTCATCCCTTCTTTGCTCAGAATCTGACCCCTTAATGATTATGTGGGCAGTGAGACAACACCTTTCACTCCCCCTTCCCTACTTTATTTTTCTTCATAGCACTTAACAACCACCAGATATAAGTGATATTTTACTTATTTATTTGTCTGTTTCTCCCCACTAGACTGTAAACCCCACAAGGTCAGGGATTTTCTTTTTTTGTCTTTTTTGCTTATTGTTCATTCTCCTGCACTTAGGATAGAGCTCAGCCCTTAGTAGGCCCTCAGTAAAGATTTTTTGATAGAATGAATTTCTAACATCACTGTCCTGATCCAAGCTATCATTATTGTTGCCTGGACTGCAGCAGTAGCACCTAACTGGCCTATCTACATTCATTCTTGTTTTCCTGCAACTTATTCTCTGTAGTGTAATTGGAGTGTTTTTTGTTTTCTTCAAACTACAGATCAGTTTGTTACTCCTTGTTTAAACCATTTCAGAAGCTTCCTATTGCTCTTAAGACAGAACTGTATGGTCTGACCCCAAATTGCCTTTCAAGCTTTAGCTCACACTAGACTCCTCTTTATTCAGACTCCTTTTTCCTCTCCAGAGACATTGGCTATTTTATTGGCAGGCTTTTTTTCAGTCCAGATTTTGTACATGCTTAGTCCTTGTTTGTACATGCTGACCTTACGAGGTCAGCAGTGTGCTCACTTCTCCAGGGATGCCTTTCCTAATCTCTCTGACTAGGTCAAAATCACTTATTGTAATCTCTCTCAACATCATATATCTCTTTGTAGTATTTATAAAATGTTGTAATACTCATTTTTGTTATTTGTTCTTGTTTCCGTTCCTTATAGGGGAGCAGTGTACAATATTCTGTTGTATCCAGTGCCTAGCACAGAGCCTGGCACAATTGGATACTCATATTTCTTGAAGGAGCGAATGATAAAGAAAGGAAGAAAAGATAGACATAAACATATGCTATGCACTAAGGACTTTGCATACATTATCTCATTTAACTGTCAGAACTCTAAGTCCTATTTTATAGATAAGAAAATTGGGACCCAGAAAGGTTAAATAACTTCTTAGCTTAGTCATTCAGACTTTCTTTCTCTCATATCCTCGTCCTCTCCTCCCCACTTCCATGCTCCCTTCATTTCTCCTCCCTTTCTCCTTTGCTCCTTTCTTTCTTCCCTCCCTACAGCTTTATTGAGGTCTAATTGACAAACAATATGCTGCACATATTTAAAGTGTACAATTTCATACATTTTGACATATGCATGCACTCGTGACCATCACCACAATCAAGATAGTGAACATATTCATCTCTCCTTTGTAATACCTTCCTTCTGTCCCCTGCCATCCATAAGCAACTAGTCATCTGCTTTCGACACTTAGGTTAGTTTGCATTTTCTAGAATTTTATGTACATAGAGTCATATAGGATATACTTGGTTGTCCAGTGCTTTCACTCAGTATAATTATTTTGAGATTGATCCATGTTGTTGCATGTATCAGTAATTCATTCTTTTTTTGTTATTGAGTAATATTCCATTTATGGATATATTGTAATTTATCTGTTGAAGGAAGTTAGTTGTATCTATTTTTTGAACTTTGTAATGAGTGTATCAGTTTCATCATAGGGTAGATATTTTTTCTGACTCCTGTTACTCAGCACTTTTGTGAGATTCGTGTTGAATTTAGTATCATTTATTTACAATGCTGTTTAATATTAAATTATGTAAATTTACTAAATGTATTTATCTACTATTGTTGACAGACATTTGGGATGTTACCAGTTTTTTTTACTGTTACAAGTAATACTGCTTTGAATATTCTTGCACACGTGTCTCAGTATACATATATTTAGATTAGTGATTTACCCTGGAGTAGAATTGCCAGGTCTTAGAGCATGTGTATGTTCAACTCTAGTAGTTAATGCCAAAGAATTTTCCAAGGTGGTTGTACCAGTTTACACCAACAGCAGCCTTGTTGGAGAGTTCCAGTTGCTGCATGTCCTCATCAACACTTGGTTTTGTTTGTCCTTTAATTTGAGCCATTCTGATAAGTAGTACTCTCTCATTGTGGTTTTAATTTGTGTTTCCCTGATGAATAATGAGATTGAACATCCTTTCATATTGCATCTTTTCTTTTATGGCCATTTGCGTCTTTTCTTTGCATCTTTTCTTTTTGCATCTTTTCTTTTATGAAGTAGCTCTTCATCTTTTGCCTATTTTTCTGGTTTTTTTCTTCCTTTTAAAAAATAAATTGAAGGAATTCTTTATATATTCTAGATAAAAGCAGTTTGTAAGTTATGTGTTGCAAATTTATGTAAATGAGTTTGAGTTTTATATGTCGTCTAGCAGCCTGGTGATTCTTGTTTATTCTGTTAATTTTATTTATCTGTACATTCTTTTGGATTTTCTGTGTGTGCAATCATCTTGTGAAAATGACAGTTTTATCTCTCCCTTTTTAATACCTTTTTATACCTTTTATTTCTTTTTCTTATTGCCCTGGCAAATACCTCCAGTGTAATGCTGAATAGAAATGGTGATGATAGGCATCCTTATCTTGTTCCCAGTCTCACATTTCACTCTTCAATATTTATTCTAGTTTTTTTCCCTGCTATTTATCAGATTATGGAAATTCTACATACTATTTTGGTAAGGCTTTTGTTTTCCTTTCTAAAAAAGTCATGAATGGATGTTTTCTTTCTTTTGTTTTCTTTTGTTAGTCTGAATTACGTTGAATTTTGAATGTTAAACTAACTTCCCTTTCCTGGTATAAACCAAACTTTGTGGAGATGTATTATTGTTTTTATACATTAGTAGAACAGTTTGCTACTATTTTATTTCTTATGTTTGCATCTGTATTTATCAGTGAGATTGGCCTGAAAATTTCCTTTCTCTAAATATCCTTCTTACGTTTTACTAATCAAGGTTTGTTTGGCTTCATTAAAAGGGGTTGGGGAGTATACCCTATTTCTGTATTCTCTGGAAAAATTTGTGGGAGATTATAGTTTCTTCCTTATGTGTTTTATAGAATTTGCTGGTAAATCCATCTGGGCTTGAAACTGTCTTTGTAGGAAGGTTTTAAATCACATATTTAATTTTTTAAATAGTTACAGGACTATTCAGATATTGCAGCTCTTCTGTGAGTTTGATAAGTTATATTTTAAGGAGTTTTCCTATCTCATGTAAATTTTCAAATTTATTGCCAAAAAGTTATTCTTAATATTCTTCAATGAAGTTTTAAAAATGTCTACAGGATCTGTACTGACATCCCACTTTATTCCTGATATTGGTTATTTGTGCCTTCTCCCTTTTTTCATGATCAGTCTCATTTGATGTTTGTTTGTTTTTGTTTTTTTTTTTGGTTCGCGGGCCTCTCACTGTTGTGGCCTCTCCCGTTGCGGAGCACAGGCTCCGGACGCGCAGGCTCAGCGGCCATGGCTCACGGGCCCAGCCGCTCTGCGGCATGTGGGATCTTCCCGGACTGGAGCACGAACCCATGTCCCCTGCATCGGCAGGCAGACTCTAAACCACTGCGCCACCAGGGAAGCCCTGTTGTTTTTAATAGTGTGTACAAAGAACCAATTATGGACTTTGTCTCTTTTTCTATATTTATATTCTGTTTCATTAACTTCTTTATTTCCTTCAACTTTGTGTTCCGTTTTCTGTTCTTTAAATTTTGGGGGATGGTTGCTTAGCTTAATGATTTTCAACTTTTTTTCT